ACTTATGTTTTCTTGTAATATTCCAGAAATTAATCTGCTACGTCTGCTCTACGCTTTGTCGTAAATGCGTCGAGGGGAAGTCTGTTCTGTACACTTTACACGTCTTTAGAGCCATTTTGGAATCATTTAAATGTGACATAACGCTGATAATCTGCATCTTTCGTAGACGAAATTAATTTCCATCGCATAATGTCACGTTATATTCGAATAAATGCGAATTGCTGGTTATGTGGCGAGAAATGAAAGTATTCATTATACAGTACTGGTTGCTATACCACGCGCCATTTTGTTTATCAGCCATACTTGAACGCCAACACAGGCTACGTAACTGCTGGCCTGTGTCGGAATATAATAAATGTTTGAAAATAGAAATCGAACAGGCAAATTTCCAATAACAAACTCGAGCTAATTTGTATATGATAATAAGGGATACGTTATATAAGCTATTTTTATGTAGTTTATACAGTTAATGTTACTGATTAAGTACAAACAAATGCTACCCGAAATGCGTTTAGTTGGTAACGGTATACACGGCAGGACTAATTCATAAGAGCCGTTCGTGTGCCTTCTCTTAGGAAAGCGGTTGTATCTGTGTGTGACTTTGGAAATGTGATTTATTGGAATGTAGGGGACTTCCCCCCTTTACCTCTAACCCAAAACTCTTTTATTTATTATTGAATAATAGCAGCGATGCCTTCAGCCAAAGGTCGTTATTATGAATGATACATTGATGAGACAGAAATGCCGAGGACAAGACTGGCGTAAGGTTCTGTTTAACCTTTTACTATAGAAGCTAGGCTGTGAAAAAACATTTCCAATCATAACCTTTTACTATAGAAGCTAGGCTGTGCAAAAACATTTTCAATCAGGTTTAGTAACGAGGGAGAATTTCTTTATTAGCTGAGCGACTGTTAGCTTCTCTGCTCCGTGGAGTTAGTTTCTAGATTAGAGTTCTCTTTAAGAAACTCTTACTAGACCGAAGTGCCTTGAGCAAAGAAGCTTTATTTGGATTTTGTGTAAATGAGGAATTTCTTGAAGAGGTGGACTGCTATCGATTGGTCTGCGAAATGCAGGTTAGATGATCGCACGGAATTGTACCGCTTGGAGCCAGACCATTGATATAATAAACGTAATTAGGCCTTTTTGGGCATTGTCTATCAGTTTTTTCCCCCTCCAAATCCTCCGTTTCGAAACTGGCTGTCCTTATTATGGGCTCGATCCCTGGTCCTGTCCACTGGGATCTATCTGAGATGGAACGTTCCTTTGTGTTGTCTGACGGCGGAGGTAGAGTCACTTTCCCTTATTTATTTATTTATTTAGTGTTCTGTCTGACGACAGGTCCATATGAACAGGATCCTTCCATCCTTTTCTCGGACTGGGACCTGTTCATATACGTTCTTGGCAGATGATCCAGAAGTGGTTTGCCATTGCCTTCTTCTGTGTGTGAATGGAGTAATTGTTGGGATGCCACGGAGAAACCGGGGAAACCCCCGGAGGAAAACTCCGTGTTGCCTAGACCACGGCCTTGCCCAACACAAGTTAAAAATTCGGGCACCGCCGGGAATCGAACCCGAGACCCCAGGATTACAAGGCCAGCGTTCTAACCGCTAGACCACCGTGGCTGTTACGTGTGAATTGCATTGAACTGGTAGTGAGTGACAGACACTTATGAAGATGGTTACTATACTACACCAAGAAGTTTATCCGTCACGTAATAAGGTTACTTGCTGTCCTGTAGTTGAATCCAATTTTAATCGGGTTCGGGATACATAAATCGACCTTGTCCGAAGCCGTGGTTGTCTAAATTATGCACACGGCCACCTCTTAGTATTTACTTGGCGTGTAATATTATCCGGGAGGTTATTGCATCTTGATGGCCACTTTGCGTGCGCTGCAGTTCAGTTTTCTTGTATTGTCTCCCTCCACGGTTAGCTAACCTTGAAACGTGAAGGCAACAGTGTCTTTAACGTCAGCGTTCTGAGTACAGTTCGTAGCGGTAGGGCCTGGTGATCCACCTAAAGCATTGTAATGTGATTGTTTATTCCCCGAAATAAAATAGGGTAAATAAATATCAAGGTAATAGGAGGTAAGAAATTATTGTAATGGATAAAAATACTCCATTTTTTTGTTCTTTTGTGTAAATTCTGCACAATAATGTATGCCGTGCAGCTTATCATAGGTTTCTGCAGTTATGAAGCTGTTGACCTCGTTCCCTGCTGCGCACTTTGACGAAACTTCTCGTGAAACGTGGCGCTTTTGTCAGTATTGTGTCATGGACTTGCAGTAGTCGTAGTAATTTCGTGTTCGTTTCATAGGTGGAAGCACAATCCGGTATTTGTTGAATTGAAGAAGTTCTGTTATTTGAGTCACTGACTGCATACACGCAGCGCTAGCGTCTTTGCAGCTGGAACGGATCGATAATGCACGACGTCAGTTTTTCTTGTTCTTTATGCGTTTTGGTTACTTTGTTACCAGTATTATTATGATTTTATAAATTCTCTATAGTTATATTTAATTCGGCTTGTTCCCAACTTGTTGCCTTAAGGCAGTGGTTGTGGTTAATAATGCACTTCACTGATTAATGATTCAAAACGAAAAAAAAAGAGGCACATCAGTCACATTTATTGACCAGGCAGCAAATGAGATACACGACTGTTAAACTAGTCGATATTTCGAGTCCAGTCGAACGTATTACATAACATTTTATGTATACTTTTAATAATAATTTCGGCGTCATTGTAACAACGTATTTTATTATACTTTTATGCCAGTCATAAGTGTAAATTATTTTTTAATATCCTAAGATTTGTTGTGATATTACGTGATTGAGTGTCGGATGGTTATATATCGATGTAATGTCGATATACGTATGGGTGTAGCGTCGTCAGCGTCTAGACGACAGCAGGCACCGCTGCCGTGAACCCTTTTCTCTCGTATATCGTGTGTTCGGGCAGACGCCACCGTTAGGAAGGATGCGCATAAAGCATGATATCGCCCATAAATCTTTCGTTAATGTGACCGGTCCGATTTCATGATAATGTACCACAGTTCTGTGAATTACAGCAGGCGTAAAATGTTTCCTACGAAGTAGAGAAGGTTTTTTGCGTGAAATTATGTGTACATCAATATTTTATTTTTATTATATATCTGTGAGTGCTGTATTGTTGTCTGCCATAGATTAATCTCGTTTAATATACGTGGTCATTTACGTGTACGTGTAATTACGCAGATTATAAATAATAATCCAGACCTAAGTCAATCAGCTTTATTGAGGTTAATGTACAAGATAATCATAAACTAGTCGATTTTGAGTTGATATATAATTGTTAATTATAAACCAATTCTGTCATAAGAAAGATCTACAATTAACTGGAGTTGATGGTTTGCATTGTGCGTGTGAGTAAATCGATTGTATAATTTGTGATTTGGAGAAGAAAATACGTTTTGAGAAATATAACAGACATAATTTTTTTTTTGCATTTAGTAAACAATGCAGTTCGGTGATGCATTCAGTTACCAGACAGAGTCTGATTCATGGTCTGAGCCTCTCAATTTAGTGAAGAGAAAAAGTAAACCTGTAGCAGTCGTTGCCCCATCGTCTGTAGTCGAAAAGGGTAATCCTGAGAAAGAAACCTGCAAACCAGATTCAACTGAACCTGTGATTAAAGATTCCAATGAAATTTGTAAAAATATTTTCGATGAGAATTTTGCCGGTGTGTCGGAGTCGGGCAGATTTGGTCATCTTAAGGATTCTGACATTGCCAGACCAACAGGAATGCTAGAAGCATTGCTTATGAGGAAAGATCCAAAGCAATTCCAAAAGACCAATGACACAACCCAAAATAAATATCCTGATAATATTTATGAAGGTGAGAAGATTGGTTGTGAAGGTAGAAAGATGATTGAGCATGCAGGAGGAAGATCTGCGAGCACAATTGGTAGCTCTGATCCTCTGAGACCTGATGGACTGTACTCCATGATCCATAGCCTCGCTGCATGTGAGCACAAGTTCCTGACAGCGCTGTACATGAACAGCCTGATGACCGCTGCCGCAGCGACACCCTCCGCTGTCATGCCGTCACCGGTTCTGGGGTTTGGGTTTCCGCCAGGGCCCGGATTCGTCGGGTACGAAAACTCCGCGCTGCCCGAACCCTGTCGTGGCAGCCCGGTCGCCAGCAGCGCCCCCATCATGAACAATCTACTGTCATTTGCTGACACGCAACACAGATTGTGGCAGATGGTGAACTGGCAACAAGGGAGATTTGGACCCAGCGCCGTTACTGATAGCTCAAACACCGCGGAACCCGAAAGGAAGAACAACGTTCCTCTGGAGCGGAATGCCCCCAATATTGTAATACCTGTCCCCCCTGTAATGTCTTCGTCGCCCCCGTCTAATGGGAGCGTGTCTTCGAGGAGGTCGAGGCCAAATCCAAAACGGTAATTGAACCACAAGCTCGTTTGGTCGTAGTCATTGAAATGTGATCGTCGGATAGTTTTGTGTTGCTCTGTGAAATTTATGTGTAATTTTACGTTATTTATTTCACAGGTTTACAGTATGTTACGCAGTTGAAGTAAAATTACATTTTATTTATTTATTTATTTGTGGTTCATTTGACGACACTGTCAGTAACTCAGACTGTACAGGATCAAATGATATGATTAATGACTAATTAATTAGAATATTTATATGGAAGGAAGTTGTATGGCCTAATTTAAGATGCTGGAGTAAATGAGGAAAACCACAGAAAATGTCGATCAGGACATCTGGTGTCTCGGCCCAGAATTTGAACCCAGGATCTTATGAATGTATGAAACAAGTTTGCTAAAGGCTTGACTGCGGCGTTAACAGTTGCTTATCCATTATTCATTTCTGACGTCACGAGGTCTTTTCTTTGAGGAATTCAAACTTTAGATACAATTTTTGTATTGTTTCATGATGACTAAAAGTGTTTAAACACAATTATTTAACTCCTTGCAACATTCTGTGTAATATTGTTGAAGTATCTTCATCTTGTGAGGGAAATAGGAAATTCCTGGCTTTTCACTTTCCTTAATGTTAGGTTATGTTCATTTAGCTCGATAAGATGGTTGAGAATTGTTGGGGCAGTTTCCTTATAGATTAATGCACACTTTTCTCATTTTATTTTGTACTCTACTTATTTATTTAGCTGTGATAATTACATTTTATGATTAAAGTTTAGAGTTCACTTACAAAAATATTCATCTGTTCATTTACATTAGTGGTCCCCAACCTTTTTTGTGCCTACGGGCACATTTGAGAGTTTATGAGATCGTGGCAGGCTCCAACCAATTAACAAAGCCAAATTTTCTTTTCTCTGGACAAATAAGACATGGGCACCAAATAATACACAAAACAACACGACGTTTAATGATACAAGAAACCACGCAATCAAAAATACGTACTTTCATAAGTACAATTATTATTACTCAAGTGGGAAGTTAGTGTGATGTTTGGCACTGCATTTCTTCGGCCAGTTTTTCAAATTTGGGAGTGTAGGATGATGTTGCTGCTCGCAAACAATCATCAAGATGGGCGTCAGTAATTCGAGATCTGTTCTTTGATTTTATAATGTTCATGGTTGAACGACCTTCATTATTCAGTATAACCTCTTTCCGTAACAACGCGAGCACCCAAAAAAGCCTTGACGGGCGCCGCGTTGGGGACCACTGATTTACAAGTTAACAAGTTAATGCAGTCATTGAAAATGGGTTTTTGCCCTTGATATATGCTCAGGATTCAAACAATGATGTGAGAATTATAAACTTGTAGGATGCTTGACTGCCTGGTCACTTTTTAATATCTGTTTTCAACTTTATTGTAATAATTTAATCTGCCACACTGAATAATATAATTACAGGTCGTCTTCAATGGACCAGAAGAATTCCACCTCCTCGACAACGGAGGGATCAAAAACTCAGGACTCGGGACAGACAAGTAATAACCAAGGTAATAGATGTTCTTTCTGCCTCGTGTAACAACGCAGCGAGGTTGAAGGTAAAATTGCGAAACAGATTTTTAAATTGCAATGTTTTCGCTTCAGAGTATGCTGTACGATGCCTGAAGGATGAAGTAAGCGAGCAGTTTCAAGTGTTGGTACTTTGTGGCGTAATAACTTATTGTCATATGCAGATAACCTCGTATTGATAGGAGAGCGACATCTAGGATAGTGTGAGCGTGTAGCTAGGATGAAGGGACAGGAAATGCATTCAGGTTTTAATGAGGTATCCCATTGGAAAATGGCCACGTGGTAGACTGAGAAGGCGATTCATATCGTGAGGTCTGGGGATGGATGTCTCGCTCGATATGCTTCTCGGTGGGCTTTAGTGCTGTCGGTGTTGAACCTTCAGATTGTACTGAAAGTCAGTCAGTCATATACTTGTTCAGACTCGAGATTTTATTTGCTATATATTTTTCATAAGATTGTATATTTACTGGGGTGTATTGCCAGCATCCTTACCGTTCACTACCCAGTAACCCTTATGATACCTGTTTACTGTTTTGGCGTTGAGCAGCAGCCAATAGTAAGTGGAACAGAAGACCTTAAGAGGGTTAGTCTCTTTCTGGGCTTAACGGGTCGAAGATGTGGGATATTTCATTCATATATGGAAGTTATGAGCTAGTAGGTCAGAAACCACATCTCTATATAACACAATTAGTCTTTGGCATTGTAACTATTCTAACTAACTATATGGCTTAATGAACCCGAAGGCTCATCACCGAATTAACCAAATCCCTCCACCGGACCCTGGGCCAACAAAATCCAGTCTCCTTCAACTCCTATCTCCCATAGATACCGCTTGAGATTATCCTCCCATCTACGTTTAGGTCTCCCCAGCGGTCTCTTCCCGTCAGACTTCCCAACCAATACCCGGTGCACACCTCTTGTCCCATCCATGCGCGCTACATGTCCCACCCATATCATTTTTCTTGACTTAATCACCCTGACAAAATTTGGGGAGGAGTACACATGAAAAAACTACTCTGAAATTCAAAGTTATTCCTTGCATATTTTGTGGCGCCAGAGGATGGGTGTGCACCGGGTACTGGTTGGGAAGCCTGAGGTGATGAACCTTCGGGTTTGTTAAGCCATCTAGTTAGTTAGAGGATTGTATCTGTGCTTGAAATAATAAGTTACTTTAAAATACTTAACTTTTTACGAACTGCTTGACACTTCATTTTGAACTAATAAGTGAACTGGTAATCTTCCCAGGTTGGTGGCCCGTAATCTTAGATTTTGACACTAAGTTCATGTTTACTCCATTGCGACTGAGGTATAGTAAGTAAAGTTAGTAATTTAATTGAACTTGTATGTGCTCGTGGCCCTTATAAATAATTTTTTTGTTCCAGACAAAAAGAAGCCACACATCAAGAAACCGCTGAACGCCTTTATGCTGTACATGAAGGAGATGCGGGCCAAGGTGGTGGCGGAGTGCACACTCAAGGAGAGCGCGGCTATCAACCAAATACTAGGCCGACGGGTAAGTGGATCCGAAACAGGTCAACGCCCTGTTTTACATACGTAAATAATTTTGTTTATGTTAACAACAGTCTACCGACATCATCTGTAATTTGCATTTAATTGGATATATTAACTTTTTTACCCTAGGAGATCCTGATAATAGAGACAAAAATTAATGCCGGCAGAGATGAGCTATATAAATGTGTTCTACGATATGGATTTTACCAACGAAGGTTAAACAAGTTTTTATTTTAAAGCCTGAATATGTCACTGTTCTTTTACACTTTCTTACGATACTACGGTTATAATTTGAGCTGCATTTTGCTTAAACATGCGCATATTAAATGTTATCTTTATACTTCATTTCATATTGTGTGGCTGCTTACCATTTTCATATTAATGGTAATGTTACCAAACCTTTCATAAGCTTTTCAATTTCTTCGTCATTCGACAGCATTTAGTCTGAGTTGTAGAGGAAAGAATGAAGTTGTCCCTTTTATATCAGAATTGAGCGCAACGTCATGAAGGCGTATGGACCTTGGCACTAGACAGAGGTGAGAGGTCATCTTCACATAGTGGCCACTTCACTCTTGAGGAGAAGGCCCCTGATGTCAATTGGATAGGAGGTTGTGTGGGTCCCAGAGCTGGTCTAGGCGTCGAGGCTAAGAAACATCTTTAGTCTTGCCCGGGAGTTGAATCCTCGATTGCCCAGTGCTCACTTTACTGACTGAGCTATTCTGGCTCATATAGTCCGAAGTATACATTTTTAGATTAAAGATTATGACAAACATTTGCCAATATTAAAAACTGCAAAATTATTATACACTTTGAGGATTTTACATCAGTCTGAGTTTAGATTGTGGCCATGTGTGTCGTCGCACTGCGTATTCATGCAGTCCAAGATGTCTGAGCAATGTGCTGCCTTCATATTCAAGGTTGAAATTAATAACATTAGAATCTTGATGTATTATACAAGAGTAGATAGAGAAGTGGGTCAGACAGCACACGATTTTCGAGTGGGAACCTTGAAAGTGGGAGTGGGGGATGGAACCCAGTTCAAGGCCATAGGAGTGGGGAGCAGGAACATAACCCTTCTCAAGGTCACTGAACTATAGGCAAGGTTGAGAGGAAACTCAGTCTTGTTCTTAGAGAGTTTTCTTCTTTTTCTTCCATGAGTTGCTTAGGGAGAATCAGTCCTCATTATTATTGTCACTTCCGTGACGATCCTCCATCCCAGTAACACTTGTATCATCATCCTTGGTTTAATTATCCTAACAGATGTGATAATGTTATAGTACTGTATACTGGGAACGACCCGTTCTTTAAGTGCCTGAGCACTGCGGGTCCCAACTTTTCGTTGGCTCGATCTATATACATTCGGTAGGACTCCTCGGCCCGTCGCAAGGCCTCTACCTGTACACAGGACAGCACAACACAGAAAAACGCGGACAAACATCCATGGCTTGAGTGGGATTCGAACCCACGGTCCCAGCGACCAAGCGGCACAAGGCCCACGCCTCAGACCACACGGCCACTGAGGACCCCAACATAATAGATATTTTAAAAATGTGCGACTTTTGTTAAGATCATTGTGTGAAGGCTAACATTGTGATAATGTCTAATAATCAAGGTTATTAAAATATTGTGACTCTTATACAGGATAAATGAATGCTTAAGATGTCAATTAATATTTTCCTACTTGCTCAGAGTTATTGTTTCTAAGTGTGTTGAAATGTCTCAGTAAATTCTCATACACACATGGAACTGGTGTGATAACGCATTCCTGGGGATGATTTGGCTTAGGACAACCAAAATAATAATGGAGATCTTGGGAATTGTAGAAACAGTGCTTAATAACCTAACTCTCCACCATTCGTCATGATGATGATGATTACAGTATGTATTTCTTCACCTTTCATGACAGGAAAACATTGGGTGGTTTAGGTGATGGAGTAGGCTGTCAAAAGTATTATCTTATCTTGAAAGCAGCTGATAACTGATATTAATTTCCACTTTTTATAGTTTCATTGGGGAAGAAGCATACCAGCAGATATCACATTCACTTTCACTGAATCCCTTTCATGCTCATCGATGAACGTGGTTAAAGTCTCTTAAAAGGATATAATAGCGTACGACACACAGTTACATATTGCGGTTTGATAATCTTTTTAACTGTTTGGGACAGGAGTAAAGACTTTACAGTTTGATACCAGTACACATTAATTTTACGCTGGAAAGGGGTAGGGAAATATTAAAAACACAATCTAAAAATAAAAACAACAATTTTTGAGAAGTTAGGGAACTGACTCTTGTCATCCTATAAATGAACTCTAGTTGCACAACCAAGTTTCATGCTTCAAGGCCATGGAAGGACTTTGCCGCCTTACCACATGGCTTATGTCAACAGTACAGCAGTTTTGAGCTGTCTTCACTCATCTTGGCTCTGCTGTTTGTTTCAGTGACCTTGAAGCGCGCAGTTTAGCATCTGCTGAATTTAGTAAACAGTACCTAAGAACAGGGAAGAAATTTAATTAATTTTAATTTTTTGTGGTCATCATTGTGTAGAATGCTTCCAGGGTGGATCATGTTATGTATCGCCTTCATTTGCAGCGCCTGTGATATTCATAACCTGCAGTTATTTTAAATTCAGACAATTTATATGTATTGTTTTCAGAAGTTTGGAGACTTCTGCTGAAAAATAAAATTAATCTGTGTGTTGTGGTAATGAACTTTCAAGTTTCCATAAAAAGTAGACCAGCTGATGTGTCAGCTTTTCAAGAATCCTCGCTCATGAAATTAGTTTGAAGTTATAATTCAGCAAATGCTGGGTAGGAAAAGGAGCATTGCTCTCGACATATGATGACGTTAAGGTATTGCCTCTTTTTTGGGGAATTATCACTGTATGTTCAATTTCAGGAGATAATTTAAGTTTAAAAAATGCTAATGCTTTCTGCAGAAACAGTGTTTTTGACTTCTTTGTTTAAGTATGTATGATTGAGTCTGGTGGTGGCTTTTGTGAACATGGTGATGAACCTACGGGTTCCACAAAGAACGTGGGGTATTCTTTGACAAGCCGAGTATACGGTCGACTTTTCAAAGAACTTCCTGCACCGTTGAGTGAGCGATGAATTTACGCATTACATTATTTATTACACACTTCTAAGTGAAAACCAGAATCCTTATTCAATCACTTACTTCATTGTGGTATATAGAAGCTATGCATCATTCATATGTCATGTGCTATGTAAAGGCTTCTTTCACCCAAAGCAACCGTTACCTTCACTGCAGATTGTGACGAGTGGTGTATACATGTTACATATTGATTTATAGTGGCATTCGCTAACACGGGAAGAACAAGCAAAATACTATGAGAAGGCGCGCCAGGAGCGGCAGCTTCACATGCAGCTGTATCCAGGCTGGAGCGCCAGGGATAATTATGGATACGGCGCAAAGAAGAAGAAGAGAAAGAAAGAACGATCAGCCGACCCAGGAGGTACCCTTTCCAGTAGTGCTAGAACAGCAGTTTCATAGGGGACATGCCACCGCCGTGATGTGCTGAAAATACCCAGGTCGGAACTAAAAGAGAAAAAAAGAAAGAAAAAAGAAAAGAAAATAAAGAAAAAGTCTCGGAACTGAAGTATAAAATTCTGGTCCTGTAATTTTACGTGAGTTTGTCACTTTGCTGAGCAGAATAGGTTGAAATGGGAAAAGTGGATTTGGCCTCCAGAATCCCCAAAACCCTTGAAAGGGAGACACTTAATTCTACTCAAGAATGCTGAGGATAATGAACCTCTCCCTGGCTGTTCTTCTAGCACGACAGACACGGAAAGTCGGAACCCCCTCAAAATTACACATTTAGAAAACAAGATATAATCTTGTTTCTTTGCAATGATTTTTTTTATTTGGAACATAAAAAATTAGCCTTAATTTTGTGTTTGTAATTGCTTGTTTTGTTCTCCCGTAGTGGCACGCGCTAGGCCGGGAGGAACAAGCCAAGTATTACGAACTGGCTCGCCGAGAGCGGCAGTTACACATGCAGCTCTACCCCGATTGGTCGTCTCGTGCTAACTCTTCCCGCGGCAAGAAGAGGAAACGCAAACAAGAGACAAATGACGGAGGTACATGGCGATGAACATTGCGTTGTCAGTTCACCTGCCGCTTGAGATTAACTGTGATACCGCGCCATACCAGAACCATATCTGTCGTGTTTTATCTGTGATTGGTTGAAATCTGTAAACCAATCTGATTAAAGCAGTCTTTGGATGCAGTATCAAGTTAAATACAAGTGGAGAGGAATTTATTTTCTCAAGTTTGTTGCATGTGGATATATATTTCGTTTATAATTATTTATTTTCTACCATAATGGTTATCAGGATCCAAAGCAGTTTTGGGGAAGTGAGGCCATGTAATCTGAAGTGGAACCTATTCTGCTTATCAAACAGTTGTTTAAGTGTTATAGTTTTTGACTTCCAGATTTCTTCCCGTTTGGGAGGCAGAAATGTCCTCTATGAAATTAAAATATAATTGTGTTATTTGTGAGTGTTTCATTGTTTATTTTATAAATCCAGAAACTTACGAGAGAATACCCTAAATGCATGGCAATGTTACTTATGTATTATTTAACGTACGATATCCTGAAAGTTTTCATTGCTATTTTTTTTTTTAAGTGTGCATGTTTATGTGTTGGCCGTAACTGCATGCTTATGAACGTCTTTCACAGAATGATATAAAAAGTGTCCTTGTGTCGATGTTGTAGGAAACAGTATGAAAAAGTGCCGTGCCCGATACGGTCTCGACCAGCAGAGCCAGTGGTGCAAACCTTGCAGGTAATAATGCATCCTTCTGTCTGTGTGTTGTCTGTGTAAAAGTCTTGTGTGTCGTCCTCTCTACTGTAGTCGAACCTTACTTCTAGGATGGTACTTTTTTCTTTATGTTCTTTCTTTTGTCTTGTTTCATTACTTTTTATTTTCATTATTCATGTCATGTTTGGGAGATAAAAAGGGTCACTCTTAGTATATTTTTTTGTTGATTGGTAGAGTATAAAGTGAAAGTTGGAACCTTAATACCATATCAGATCTTATCGGTAGGTAGAACATAGTCGAAGCCTTTCGTTGGAGTAATATGCCTGCAGTTTCTCCCTCAGAGCTCTTCGCTGCAGTTTGTCTCAATCCAGTAAAATTGTGTATATGTAGACGGCTACGAGTTGCATGTTGTTGAAGTTGTTAATTAATTTTGATTACAACCCGTGAAAGTCGGTCAAGTTGATCTGCCATTTCTGCGCCCTAATGCGGTCAAATAATTCTGGAGAGAAGTTTATAAATGAGTGACCCTTTTTATTTATGTCAGGTCTTGGCTGTGCTTAAGAGTGGGAGCGGGGGTTTCGTACAAAAGGTCTCACTTTTATTTAAACGTTTGGTGTCATCTTATCTATGTGGAAAGACTGTGCGTGCTAGATGTAGTCGTGAGAAGACACTTTGGTGTTTTTTACATGTGAATTTATTTTTTCTCTTGACTTCTGAAATGAAAACACTCGGTAGAACCCCGATTACCGATATTGTGCGATGGGTTCACTTTGACACTGGTAGCCAATCTGTTTGAATGAAGAGTGTCGAAGTGCCAACACTCGCCACACTAACTTGTCATACACTGAATTCTGTGAAGTGATGGTGCTTTTTAAAATATTTTCAGATCATTTCACAAAATTCAGTCGTTTGACTTAAAAATACATAGAAACACAGAAGCAAATAATATTTACAGTTGAGAACCTGCTGAAGTAACCAGGGTTTTACTGTAACTGTATAAAAGTAACCAAGTAGTGTAACTAATTCATTCAGAAAATGTGTCTTCCCACAAAGAGAAGAAGAAACAACCCTTTCTTTGATTGGCTTATTTGCGTACAACAGTGGGTGCAGTGGTAAATGACAGTGAGAGCCTTTGAGACATTCTGGCACATAGATAGACAACCTCAGTTAATCATTAAAGGGGCATGATTTAGAATGTCACCTCTCTCTCTCTCTCTCTCTAAAAAAAAGTTTTGTGATTTAAATTATCCATAATTGGGAAAAATGATCCCACCTATCTGGAAAAGAAGTTTCTACAATTCTTCAAAAATATCTTCCAGTTTCAAAAATGATTTCTCTCTCTCTATCTCTCAGAATTTCTTGATTTTATTTTCGAAATTTGAAACATCTTTGTCGACACATTTTCTGAAATGCGCATCTTATTTCAAGTGGATCAACTAAGAAACCTCATTTTAAAATACCGATATTGTAAAAGGCATGGAGTGACATACTGTGACAGTTGCATTAATAATTAAATGATGAAATAAAGTTGATTTCCTCAAATGTGAATGCTCCATGTCTTTTGTAATCATACCTTTTAGAAAGAAATTGTTGTTAAATGTTGATTTTCTGGTTTTTTATTAATTTTATTGTATAATTTTCTGGTACAATAAGATTGAGAAGGAAGTGACTTCAGTGCCCCTTTAATGCTAACTGATGTTTCTATCTTGTGCGGCGGATGCAGCCCGGACGGGCCGAGCCACGGGAACCCCCCCGGGCACCCTCCCGGACACCCCTCCGGCCCTGGGCCCAATCCCACAGGGCTGGGGGTCCATGCTAGTATAATCCACCATGGTAACACTACCACTAGCAATGCAGCCTCCCCGCAGGAACCTACCTATGTTAATCTCTAGTCAAACATGCGCCCACGGCCAGCTGTGAGTGTTTTACATTACCGTTCCATGTATACATGTCACTTTGTTTGCTACTAATTGCATGGCCTAACTAAGATTTGGCATCACTGTCTGCCCCATTTCAAAAATTATGTCAGTGTAATGTCCACTTGAAAATTACGTTTAAATTACTAGAAAGTATTTGTTCTACATGGCACAGAATTATGTCATTAATTTTTAAACTCTGAAGAAGGTATCGGCTTATGCCATGTTCATCGCGTCTACATTTCCTTTTGCAGTTTCTTCCAGTTTTTAACTTTGAATGTCGGGACTTGTCATTAGTGCTAGTTACACCGTCAGTCAGTCTCTGTAGTGCCTGAATGGAAAGCGGTCATCAGATGATTTTCTTTAATTCATTTACCAGTTAACCGGTTGTCAACCGTAAAAATACTAAAGTATGTGTTTCTGACCTCTCATAGCGACTGTGGTAATACAAAATACTCATTACAAGTAATGAGTCATGAATGAATCATACCGACTTATTCAGCAGGTGACTACATTGAATGCATTGAAGTTTGTTGTAGAAATTCTGAGCCAGTGCCTTAGGCCATGTGAGAACAGTATGTGTAGTGTGCCCTGTTACAGCATGAGAGCACCACTGATTTTTTTTGTTTTGTTTGTTTGCTTGCTTGCGTTAATTTATTACAAATTCCTTTTACTGGGGGCAAGAAATATATTACAAAGGTTCTAAAGTTAAACTGTATCGGTAATTATGACACCATGTGAATACGTTGGTAGACTTCTTATTTTTCTGTCTCGGTTATTAACAGAAGCAATGCAAGATCCTCCGTTGAAATCATGGAGGCTTTACGTATAGATCTATGATATATTTTCACTCGTTCTGCACTGCACATCAGTTATCAGAAGTTCTGATTGAGTGTTTTTAAATAATTTTAAAATTAATCCGAATTTTTTGTCTTCTAATTTGGAAGGCTTATTATATGATTGAATGGTAGGTAGTTATATTTAGAGTAGATGTTCAATTAAAATGAGATTTTGTACTGCTTTCTAATACATTATATCAGTTCTGAATTATTTCATCAGTTTAAGCCTTTGTAACCGTGACGGTGGTCTAGCGGTTAGAGTGCTGGCCTTGTAATCCTGTGGTCCCGGGTTCAATTCCCGGCGGTGACAGGATTTATAACTTATGTTGGGCAAGGCCATGGTCTAGGCAGCACGGAGTTTTCCTCCGGGGCTTCCCAACAATTACTCCATACTCCATACACACTGAAGAAGGCAATGGCAAACCACTTCTGTATCACCTGCCAAGAACGTATATGAACAGGTCCCAGTCCGAGATAAGGATGGAAGGATCCTGTTCATAATATGTCGCCAACCTCCTGTAAAAGATACAGCATAATAAAGAAGAAGAAGGCTTTGTAGATTCCTCAGAAATTTTTAGCTAAATCTAGTCCTTTAGCCATTATATTGCTTTTATTTCCTTTATGCAGCCATCATGGTTATTCTTCCTTATAACTGTCTGAAACATTTTTCCAAATTTTTGGCAGTTTAGTTTCAGTTTTCTGAGTACTTTGAGGAAATAAAAGTTGGCAACATATTATTTCAGCGCTGTCAAGAAATAACCTATCAGTATGCTGAATCCGTCATTGCGAAGTGCTAACAGCAGTTGCCACTAAAATTATTACACAGTGACGTCTTACTTACTGTTGAACTTCTTCTTCTTCTTTTTATTTGTATGTGAAATGTTTTTTGGCTAGAAAGCGTTGGAGATAATTTTGTTTTGAATTTCCCAAGATCACAGTTCCGAACAAAATAGGCTTCCATAAACTTGCTAATTATGACAGTCAGGTCTTTGCATTATTCCTGGAGGATAAATCTGCTAAAAATAATACTGTCTGTTTATCAATTAAATAGGGACTAGGTTAGTTAGAACAAAAGACCAGCAACATTTTGGCCATACAAGATAAACTGTAGTTAATGCTTTGCAGCCTTTATGATGGCAAGGTTACCCCTCATTTGACTTTTTTTCTGATGAAGCATTGTTTAATTTTTACAGACATGTTTCCTCCCATATTAATTGGTAATGGAATTCTAATAATCCTCATTTAATCTAAGTTGATTATATTGTTTGTTTTTTTTGGATCAATACTTGATGCACATCAGGAAAATTTTGTAGCTCTTGGTGGTGAGTTACACAGATTCTGCTGAGAGCCAGGAAACGTTTGTGTATAACTGTCCGTGACTAGCCAGATACAGTGAATATTTTTCTGCATGCAATTCTTTTTCCTACCCCGTGACAGAAGTAAGAACTGTGAATGTGAGGCTTCCTTATTTATTCACATTACCCATAAAGCATTAGGTCTGCCATGTTGGCCGTCTTCATAATTTTACCATTGGGGATAGCAGAAACCACCTCATAGGTTCTGCACAACAGCATATTACAATTTTACATGTGAGATTATAATATTCTGCCTGTTTTATTCCTTTCAATCAGTCATCTTGCCTGAAGATGGCTGCTAAATCTTTGGTATGGTTCTGCTTCCATCAAGCCAGAATGTCTCCTTATGCATCTACCTTTCGCGTTCATTCAGTACTGAGATTAAGACTGTGAATCCTTACCTCAAAGTCTACTTCATGATGCTTAGGTACAGGAATGACAGTAATATTGTTCTAACTCTTGCGGCTTTTGTTTCGTTTGCAAGCGAAGTTCTTGACATTTTTACAATATCAGTAACTTTAATCAAATTTGGTCATAGCACATTTATTCTCTAATTTTATTACATGATTAAAATCTTAAAACTAATCAGATATTAGCATTTTGATTAAATTATCGATGTTTCTGTACATCGCACTATAGTTTAAAAAGCAGGCGAATGAAGGAAATACTGCCAATGATATATGGCTATGATATTTGCTTGATTCTGCCACATCTTAACGAAGAGACACTGGATTCCTGTACAAAAGATCAAGGGTTGAATAATGATGTTTCTATTTGCACACTCAAATCTCGGTTATGAGAACAGTGTAAGATAATTTTATGTATTTCTTGCCCCCACCCCAATTGTCTTTGTAGTTTCCTCCTAGCCCCCCTCCCCATACAACTCACAGAAATGTCTTTACACTAGTACGTTC